TGAAAAATATGTTCTTAAACAATCACTTTTTAACCGAAAAAAATTAAAAAAGCGTAAAGAATAAGTTGTATATGCAGATGACTACAATAAGTTTATAAGTGATTTAGCTTTAAATTTTTTAAAATCTTTCTGATATTGACAGAAAACTTTTGTGCAATAATCTGTAGTAAATTTAAAAACTTAAAAAACAATTTTGTCATTTCTTAGCTGCTTCGTTTCTTCAAATTACTGACCCTATTTGTTGATAAGTTATTATTCAGTAAGTTACGAGAAACAATTTTTCATTTAGCTATTGTTTTCAAAAAAAAATTGGATTAATAATGTTAAAATAAAAAACCAAATTTTTAATGTTGTTGTTGTTGTTGTTGTTAGACCAGACTTAAAAACAAGAATGCAGTGTAATAAGCACCTGAATTATGGTGACAATACTTGGACTTGACTTCAGATAAACAATCAACAAATTGTTGGTAAGACGACGTACAGTGAGTTTGGAACTGCTTAACTTCATCACAATTGATGCCAATAAATATGACATACAAAAATCTGTATTCTGAAAAAAAAAGATTCTTTTTTTTTCCAGAAAAAACTTCTGTAAGTTAAACGTTTGCTTGCAGCCCCTTAGCAATTAGCCAGTAAATTAAAACATATAATAACCGTAAAGAACAAAAACTGTTAAACCCAAAGTAGCGTTTTAGTGTTACGATAAAAACTAATGTTTCAAAATACAGCAATCAACAATTAGTTGTTTTGAAGTATTAAAAAATTTTTACCACTTTTCTTCTTAGAAGAGAAATTAGTAAAAAAAAAAAAAAGAAAACGAAGAAGCAAATATATAAATTTTATTTACAGTTCCAAATGTTGGTAAAGCATCTAGCAAAAATTTAAGTGTTTGATGTTGCACTTCCCATCGTTCATCATTCAGCAACAACTCCAACTGCTTCACCAGTTCACCTTTTCTGAGAAATTTGGTAAACCACTGTGAATCATGTCGAGCAATGGCCGACAAACCGTTTATTGTCTAAAAAATGTTGACATTTTCTATTCATCACCAAAAATTCGAAGTTTTCATTTTATTTTTCGTTTTTTTCGAGGAGAATTATGATATAAAAAGGAATAAAGAATTATTTAAATATGTTCTTTACGGTACAGTGTGATATATAGCATGAAATTGGCTTTTCAAAAACTAATGTGCTATTCTTTTTATTGCTTTGACTTTTGTCATCCAAAATGCAGTGACCGATCAGTGGTTAGTATCAGAAAAAAATTTGTATAAATAAACAAGCCAAAAATATTTGCAGTTTAAATGCAGTTTTTAAACAGCATAATGCGTCAAAACAAAAATTTTGATGCTGTTTAAAGCCAATTTTGTTTATTTAAGCTTATATTTTTTTTCCTAGTTTTTCAACTAATCTTATAGTTTGTTGAACATCACAAAGAAAATACGCTGCAACAAAAATTTCAGCTTTTACTATTTCTAACACCAGGAAAATCTCAATAAGAGCTTAAATTAAGATTAGCTAAGACTGTCTAATGTCGCTACGATTAGTTGAAAGAGTTTCACCTGAAGCCTAACATCGAACTCATAACTGCCCAGCAATTCAATGATTGTATCGTCGTGTGGCAGTGTTGGATCTGATGAGTCGCTGCTGCCAGGACTAACTGCATCTGTTTGAAATATATTCGTCAAGCTCATTCGACCGTCAGCGACTAAACATATAAGTATGCCAAAGTTGTTTCCTTTTTTTTTTTTTTTTTCAAGGATCTAGTCAAGTCTTTCTTCGTCTTCACGAGCTTTTGTCGCACGAAGAATTAAAAGCTTGTCATGAACTCAGTGAAGCAATCTACCGAGTAGTCGATCAGTTGACAAGCATCAAAAATACAGTGCTTATTTTCAATAACATACATTTCAAATGCTCAATTGATAACTGTAAAGCGCTCTCACTTTGATATAACAGACATCAATAAAAATTTCATTCGGCAGCTTAGTAAAAGACAAAGACTTGAAAAAAATTAACACTGATTTCTTTGTAATATTTTCAAAAAAAGAAAGCTGTGAATAATTTTCCAAAACATTACAAACAGTAAACAATAACTGAAGCAATTATTCTGGAGCTGTAAACGAGTAAACTTTTTAACAATTCAGTAAGATTCCAGATGATTTTTAAGCGGCAAAACATAAAAAGAAGGTAAAAAAGTTAACCATGGCTGTTTTGAAACAGTAGCAAAACAGAGAAAACGATGAAAAGAAATATCTAGAAAGTGTAATAAGTATTTGTAGCGTTTTTTTTTTTTTAA